TAAGCAATTCAAATGATTTCTCCAGCTCAAACTATACTTCACAAAACATAGAGGGAGCTGACAATGGACTAAGAGGCTGAACAGAGTTTAAGCAATCAAGTAGTCAAACAGTGTCAAGTTGGCAAGATCAGGAGGCATCTATGATACAATCAATGGTATCTTTGACTTTTAAAACTATGCATGTCTCAGTGTAAATTAAGTTCTACTTGGAGGTTGAAACAAATAACATAAAAGTAGAGAAAGTTACAACAAAATCCGTTGTCTTGGTATAAGTTGGCAGAACTTATGAATTGCAATATTTCCATTGAAGCAGAAAATAGACATTGTCTTTACAAACAAATCCTTTTTCTGAAGATTCTTACTGAGTATATGGGGCTGCAGTGGCTTAGAGGTTAAGGCACTGAGCTGCAGACTGGAAGGTCTGTAATTCAGCAGTTTGAGACCCTAGTGCTGCTGGATGGAGTGAGTTCCCGTCTCTGGCCCCAGCTCCTGCCAACCTAGCAGTTCAAAAGCAAGAAATTGCAAGTAGATAAATAGGTATTACTTTGGTGGGAGGTAACAGAGTTACCTTTTGAATTATGGTGCTGGAGAAGACTCTTGAGAGTCCCCTGGACTGCAAGGAGATCAAATCAGTCAATCCTAAAAGAAATCAACCCTGACTGTTCTCTGGAAGGCCAGATACTGAAGCTGAAGCTCAAATACTTTGGCCACCAAATGAGAAGGGAGCACTCACTGGAGAAGATCCTGATGCTGGGAAAGATTGAAGGTCAAAGAAGAAGGGGATGGCAGATACATCTTTATTAAAGGAAAACTTGAGGAGCGTTCAGTCACTTTAGCTTCTATATATGCTCCAAATAAGGGCCAAAGAGGCTTTATCAGAGAGACTCTGGAGAAACTAACACAATTTGCTGAAGGAGACATAATCATAGGTGGGGATCTCAACATTATTATCGACAATACCCTTGATAGATCGCATCATAACCCCACTGATAGAAAATCTAAACAGAGGTACACTAATCTAGCTTCAATATTGACAGACCATAATCTGCTAGATGCAAGAAGAAGAAGAAGAAGAAGAGATTGGATTTATACCCCGCCCTTCACTACCCAAAGGAGTCTCAGAGTGGCTTACAAACTCCTTTCCCTTCCACTCCCCACAACAGACACCCTGTGAGGTAGGTGGGGCTGAGAGAGCTCTGACAGAAACTGCTCTTTTTCAAGAACAGCTGTACCAGAACTATGGCTTGCCCAAGGTCATCCAGCAGGTGCAAGTGGAGGAGTAGGGAATGAAACCTGGTTCTCCCAGATTAGAGTCCACGCACTTAACCGCTACACCAAACTGCATGGCGTATAATGCATCCATCTGCTCGAGACTACATGTATTTCTCGGCGGTGCATAACATGCACACTAGGATCGATTTCATTTAAATTTCACCAAACCTGTTGGATAGGGTATTAGACACATCTATTGTCCCGTCCCAGTGGTTGGACCATGCGTGGACTGAATGCATGATTTCGCAGGCAGACCAAACAAAACCGCAGAGACAGTGGGCTTTAGGACATTAAGTTATACTTCGAAGAAAATGACACAAATGAGGTTTCCCTGACCACATGTTGGGATGCTATGAAGCCTGTATTGTGAGGTAGACTCATTTCCAAGGCTTCTTTCCTAAAAAGACAAAGGTAACAGGCAGAAACAAACCTTCTGGGAAAAATTAAATCTTTAGAGCAAAAACACAAAGAAACTGGTTCTAAGCAGGTTCTAAAATAACTGACAATAGAAAGAAAAGCCCTCAGCATGCTGGAAATATCTAAAATTAAACACCTAATTTTTACAAAGCAAAAGTATTGGGTAAAGTCGCCTAGGTCACTAAATCTTTTAGCACACAAGGTTAAAGAACTTAAAACGTCTAAGCAAATTAAGGCCTTAAAAACTACAAAAGGAGACATAGTCACACAAAAAAACAGCTATATTAGAGGTTTTGGAGCAATACTATAAAGGGCTATAACACCTGTAAGTACTGATATACTCTGCAAGACTATGGTTGGGTTCCCTATACATACCAAATTAGAAGATAATCATAGGCTGGTCATGGAAGAACCTGTAACAGAGAAAGAAATTTTAGACACCATAACATTACTGAAAAACGAAAAAGCCCCAGGATCAGATGGCTTCCCATCCGAGTTTTATAAAGTATTTGCGACAGAGCTCTCTGTTTTAGACACAGGTACTATCCCCACATCTTGGAAACAGGCGATCACAGTTGTCATACCTAAGAAGGGAGGTGATTTGACAAGTCCTAAGTCATACAGACCTATTTCGTTATTGAACCAAGACATGAAAATATTCACATCAATTTTGGCCAAGAGAATGAGCCACCTTTATTTCACAATATATACATACCGACCGGGTAGGCTTTATACCCTATAGAGACCTTGCAGATAACTCCTTGAAAACATTAAATCTCCTCAAGCACAGCACTGAACTTAAAAAACCCACGGCCCTTCTCTCTTTAGACATAGAGAAGGCTTTCGATATGGTGGAGTTCGCATATCTCTTTAAGGTACTCAGAAACATGTGTTTTGGCCCCAAATTAATACAAGCTATAGAAGGCCTGTACGCAAATCCAACCACCAGTATTAAGTCCAATGGGTCACTATCAGCCAGCATAAACCTTAAAAGAGGCACAAGACAAGGGTGCCCATTGTCACCATTATTGTTCACCATGGCGATTGAACCACTAGCACACACCATTAGGATGAATCATCAAATTGAAGGGATCAAAATCAGGAATACGGAATATAAAATTTCAATGTTTGCAGATGATATGTTGATTTATGTTACTAATCCTTTGCAGTCAATACCTACGTTACTGCACATGTTAACATCGTTTGTAGAGGTATCAGGGTTGCACATTAACCATTCCAAATCGCAAATACTCCCAATTCATATTTCTGAAACGGGGCAATCCCTTCTCAAACAGCAGTTTCAATTTAGTTGGGTCTCTGATTGCTTAACTTATTTGGGAATAAAAATTCCATTAGAACTAATGCATCACAACCACAACATAACGTACAAGGAAATTCACAATACTATCTCCAAATGGGAAAGACTAAACCTAACCTGGCTTGACAAATTTAATTTGATAAAATCATTTCTTTTACCAAAATTCTTATTTCTGTTTAGAACGATCTCCATTGCTATCCCAATGTTGACACTTAAAAAATGGCAAGATTCTTTATTGAAATTTTTGTGGGGCAGATGCAAAGCTAGGATTGGATTTCACATTCTGAGGAAATCTTGATCCCAAGGGGGATTTGGATGTCCTGACTTAACAACATACCATAAAGCAACTCTCCTGGCAAATATTATTAAAACACAAAGCTCAACATCTCAGCCTGACTGGGTCAAATTATGCTCTGATCTTATCCATCCACACTCAATAGGCCACATGCTTTTGGATAAGAAAATTAATCCTGTAGCTACTAAATCACTTAATGAGTTCCTGACGCCTATGTTCAACTCATGGAAAACAATTAGAAAATTTTACTTACCTGAGGTGTTGAGGTACTCCACTTTTACCCATAAAACATAGTTTGTGGAGATTTGTGATCCCACCCTTCTCAAAACGTGGAAAGCAGCAGGGCTTTCACATTTTTGTGACGTTGCGTCTAAAAAGGGTCTGTTTCAAAAAAATGAAATTGAGAAAGCTTTAGGGAAAACAATACCATGGTGGGCTGTAACTTGGACCTCATAATACAATTGTCGCCAAACTTGGAGAGCAGGTAGAGGAGAATCGTCTGGAGACCCCTTGTGAGTTTGGTGTCTCTAGTACACCGGTGAGCATTCTACCACATCACAAATTTCACAACCTGAACTGGTTCATCTAGTGCCAAAAACTTTGTGATGGTCTGTGGTTTGCAAACCACACACACCACAAACCATGAACTGAACTGAACTGCATTTTCCCGGTTTCTGCCCATCCCTACCTGAGAACTCATTAATTAACCATCAGCTCACTGCCATTTGTGTGACAGTGGTTATTCTGTTATGATGGTATTAAAAGGATGTTCAGCCAATATTTCCCCTGGTTTTTAAGAGATACAATTTAGGAACTTTTTTCTTTGCTGTGTGAAAATTAAACCCCCTCAGCACATTGAAAGGGGGGAACCACCCTGGAATATATGTATAGTGCACATGTGGTATATTTTAGTCACAACGCTGTAGTGTCTAATGATCTTATGATTATAATTATAACCTGAACTCAGAGTAATTATAGAGCTAGGCATAACTGCAGAAATAAATATGCAATAACAGACTAGAACTGATTTGGAGGGGGGAACCCTGCATACACCAAACCAAATGATACAGAGCAGCATTACACTATAGAAGGCATGGCTTTAAAGGGGGATTAGACAAATTCATGGAGGATAGGTCTAGCTATGACTGTTAGCCATAACTTCTGTATTCAGATGCAGTGTATCTTTTTATCAGTATACCTCTACATGCCAGTTGTTGGAGGGCAGCAACAAGGGACAGACTTTGGCTTTTCTTACCCTACTTGTGGGTTTTCTGAAGATATCTAGTTAGCCAGTCTTGGAAATAAGATGCAGAAGTAGATGGACCTTTGATTTAATCCACCTGGGTTCTTAAGTATGTTCTTATATAGTAATTCAGATTTAAGTCTTTCTCCTTCCTATATCAGTGTTCCACAAAAAATAACTTTATGCAGTGTTTAGATTAAATGTGGAAACCTGATATTTTGGAAATCTTAACCAGTTGAGGGTCAGGATTCAAGTCCAGTGGCACCTTAAAAGACCAACAAAATTTCCAAGGCATAAGCTTTCGAGAGTCAAAGCTCCCTTCAGGCCACATCAAGGAGATAGTAGACTTGACATTGTCAGTCAGGATCAACTGATATTCAAACAAGGGTGGGCATTCTCACATAGGCACAACATTGAGGTTGAATAACAAATTTCTCCCTCTTTCTTTCCTAAAGGGAAAAGTTTTTGCAACCACAGGTATCAAAACATCCAGATTTCTTTACCCGCATTGATATGGAGCTAAGAAAAATCATTGAAGATCAGGTGAGAGCAGGTTTTCAAATTTGCATTTGCTTACATTTAATGCTGTTTATTTCAAAATCCACAATTTGCCAACATGATTATCAGCTAATGAACCTCTGCAGCCCTTTAATTAACTTTCTGAGTTATGCCTTCTGTTATTTTAAAATAAAACCATGATTCAATCTGATAAAGACCTGATATGCAAGTGAAGCACTGATATTTTTAATGTACATTTCTATGAATTAGATCCTTATTGTTGGGCTTAGTGTTCTGATGATTGCACTTTATCCTTGATAGATCAGAAAGGCATTTATTTTAATTGTTTTATTGAGAAACCTTAAAAGCAAAAATAGGGGAGGCACTCAAACCCCTGAATCTCTCCATGGTCCCCATTCATTTCTGCCCCCCCCCCCCCAATTTCTGTGTTCTTTGCTGGGTATGGATGGTGTTGTTCAAGAGGATTTTCTGTAGTACTGAAACAGAGCAAAATGCCCTCCTGTCTGTCATTCACAGCTGTAACATCTTCCTTGAGGTTACTTTGATACAGGCCCCTTCCAAACTGGAGCTGATCAAAAAGGGTGAAAAAAATACACGTGTGTATGACTGAGCAGAAGTTCATAGTTGTGTGTACTTGGCATGGTAGACCAGAGACATCTGAAAGTGAATGCATGCTTGTCTGAGGCTGTTTAAAGTTTGAATTTGGTACCATGACACATCAAAGCCACTATTACTTATAAGAAAATAGCTGGAGACAGTTCACCACATTAAGGCATCATGTCTATTAACTAAAAATACGCTAGTAGGTTTTTATGTATATTTGTGATTGTGAATCTAACTAATCATCTTTTCCCTGTTACCTGTAAGCAACTTGCCCACAAGAACAGCATTAAACTTCTAACAGCACAATTGCTATACTAAACTGTTATGCATGCATCGAAATCAGTTCAGACCTATAGAAACTAATAGGCCAGCTGCACAGTTATATATTAATTGATTCAAATCCCAGCCTTCTGTACATTTTCACCTGGAGATAAATTTCTTCACTAAGTTTGAGAGTGAATATCCTCTGGATATTTGCAGAATACTCTCCATTTATTGTTTTGCAGTTGGAATCATTTGAATGAGCCTACCACTACGTGTTAGAACTGAATTGACACCACTGGTGCTAATTGTTAGGAGATGATCCACTGATAGTTCATAACAGCTGGGAGAATGTGACCCTTCCCAGGTGAGGAAATGGGGCAGGTGTGGACATCTGAAGAAACAGCAGGTTCAAGTTTTCAAGAGAAATAAGGAGAGGCCAACAGAGAGAGCTGAGTGTTGGCAGAAGCACTCTGGAGTGCAGGAACTCCCTCTCTCCAGGGATCTGATGAGGGATATGGGAATGCCTCTTTGCCTCCAGCTGTGCTTTGTTTGTACATTGGCAAATAAAGCTGACACTACAGAAGTCTCTACTAGTGCTGTCTCTTTCAAAAGGAACAAAACCCAGGTTTTATTTATTACTTTTTATTCATTTATTTATTCATTTAGGTCACTTTTAGGCACCCAGGTGCCCTTGCAGCTTCTTGCTGCTCAAGGAAGTAGGGAGTAAGTAACAGTATATTCAGCACCATGTTTAGCACTGAAAACTTTTGCACTGAGTTCAACCTTGCAGAGTATCTGGACCCTAGCTTAAGTAGCAGTCCCCATTTGAAAGTAGCTCACATATACCAGTCAAGAGTTAGTGATATTTCATAGCTGACACACTGTAGTAATGAGTATTTTACAAGATCTGACAGGTGACACACAGATGCCAACATCTGACTGTCAGCATTTAACAGCATCTGATAGCTAACATGTGGTTGCAATCAATATTTGACAGTAACAGATCAGATGTACTGCAACCGAATGTAATGGATTTTCTATTAACTGCGTTAATTCATGTAATATATGAAAACATGTAACACATCATGTTTCACTTCCACAATATAAATGTCATATTTCAAGGTCAAATTTCAGCATCAAACCCCAAAATCTTATTTAGTTTCAAAATCTTGCAATTTCAGATACCCAGCTACAGATAATAGGTAGTCATTGACTGCTGTCAGGGCTGCTGTCAGCATACTCTGAAATGGAACAGCTGCTGGGGCCCAGGGCTTCTTTGCTGTGGCCCACTGCTACCAATCTCTCACCCACTCACTCGCTAGTATTCTACCTCCTGGCTCCAGCTGCCACCAGGGAAAGGGTTGTGGGTGGTGCAGGTGGCTGTGAGCATGGTTAGTCTCACAAGTGGGCAGGGGGAAGGATGCACAAGCAGGTTGGAGGCAAGGAAATGGGTGGGAAGGAATGAGAGAAGAAATAAGGAGGTTGGTGGAAGAGGGATGGGGCCCCTGGGAGCCCTGTGTCTAGGCTGCCCCAAAACCTGGAACTGGCCCTGGCTGCCATGCACTGCCCTGGGGGTGGGAGTGTGTGATTGGAGTCTATGCGTGTTATTTCGTAAATCTAGGTGCTTCATTTAGAAAACAACAATCCGTAATTTGGCCTAGAGACAAATAATACTCCCCCCCCCTTTTCAGGGAACTGAGAGTTATTCAATACAGGCTATATTACCTGTGATATGGATGCTCATTCCATAATTGTGTTTGTTTGCAGCTTTTATAAATTTCTGCAGTGCTTTCACAGTCCTGAAAATCTGTTTGACTACTGTTGAAAGAGGGACAAAAGACATGAGCCTGTACATGATGGGAAATGACATCTCTTTCATACTACCTTAAACTCTCTTTTAAAACTGTAGTCTGCCTCCAGCCAGAGATCATGGCTTGGTCTATACAAGCAGCAGATTAAGCTAGAAATGCCGTCTTGGAATTGTGGGGTGGTAGAATGGACTTCAGACTGTAGACAGGGGGAATCACACATTTGAAATGCTGGTTTGCATAGATAATTTCCCAGAAGTATAAAACTGTCATGCAGGAAGGAACCGTCATGCTGGACCCTTTCTCCCTAGTACTAGTTTTTTACTTACGTGGAATATTGTATGCATAGGGTCATTAATCAGTGGCAGCTCTCTTCTGCAGTCTGGAGCAGTACAATCCACTCTAATGCAAAATGCTGGCCTGGATGAATCACAAGTGGGAATTAAGACTGCTGGGGAAAAGATCAACAACCTCAGATATGCAGACGATACCACTCTAATGGCAGAAAGTGAAGAGGACCTAAAGAGCCTCTTGCTCAGGGTAAAAGAGGAGAGTGCAAAAGTGGGCTTGAAGCTCAACATCAAAAAAACTAAGATCATGGCATCCGGCCCCATCACTCCTTGGCAAATAGAAGGGGAAGTCGTGGAAGTAGTGACAGACTTCACATTCCTGGGATCCCAGATCACCACAGACTGTGACAGCAGCCATGAAATTAAAAGATGTCTGCTCCTTGGGAGGAAAGCGATGGCAAACCTAAACAGCATGATAAAAAGTAGAGACATCACCCTGCCAACAAAAGTCTGCATGGTCAAAGCAATGGTATTCCCAGTAGTCATGTATGGCTGCGAGAGTTGGACTATAAGGAAGGCCGAGCGCCGAAGAATAGATTCTTTTGAACTATGGTGCTGGAGAAGACTCTTGAGAGTCCCTTGGACTGCAAGGAGATCAAATCAGTCAATCCTCAAAGAAATCAACCCTGAATGTTCCCTGGAAGGACAGATAATGAAACTGAAGCTCAAATACTTTGGCCACCAAATGAGAAGGGAGCACTCACTGGAGAAGACCCTGATGCTGGGAAAGATTGAAGGTCAAAGAAGACAGGGATGGCAAAGGATGAGATGGTTAGACAGTGTCATAGATGCAACGAACATGAAATTGAGCAAACTTCAGAGGACGGCAGATGACAGGAAGGCCTGGCGTGATCTGGTCCATGGGGTCGCGAAGAGTCGGACTCGACTGTGCGACTGAACAACAACAACCATGTAGACCACTGCCTCCACCCACCCCCTAGGGGGCTCTTTCTTCTCGTTTAGCCTCACTTATCTCAAGCTTTCTTCTCTTTTAGCCTCACTTATCCCAAGCTTTAAGTCAAGACCTTCTTGCTTCCTAGAGCAATTAGGATTTCTTGGCCCTGCTTATATTAAGGAGTGTGTCTGACATCATGGCACCAAAGACAGTAATTGCCATCCTTCATTTGAGAGACTCTCTAGTGAGTACTTCCACTGCAGCTTCACTTTTGAAATTTTAATCTTAGGTGCAATTGAGTGGAAGGTAGTGCTACTGCTGCTGCTTCTCTTAGTTTCTTTAAAAATAGTATGTTAAGCAGTTTCTGTTTCTGACTTTACTCTTCTGGGACTAGTATGGTACAATAGAGTTATATTTGTTATGGAAGAAAAATGTTCAAATCCCCATTCAGATATGAAGTGAGCTAGTTTGTCTTCGACAACTCCATCACTCTCAGCCTTCCCTATCTATAGTGTGATGAAGTTGACATTTTAAAATGCTATAAACATTCTTATTAATGACAACAGTCACATACATTTGGAGACATTCTCTGACATTTGGGGTTTGAAACTTATTCTTGCCATCTCTCAGGTAACTGTCCTGACTCAGTGTTCTTTCTTTCCGAAGTTTTCCTACAACTGCTATTATTAAGCCAGTCTGGGGGCTGAAACAATCATACCTTTTATGATACATTAAACAAGCATTTAAAGTTAATTCTCCATTGAGTTCCTACTCTGTAGACAGCAAAAGTACCAAGCGCACTGGGATATATTTTAGAACTCAGGGCAGCTTTTTCAAGTGGTAATAATGGTAACCATGGCAAACATGCCTACAAGCTACTAGTTTGCTTACAGTACTCTGTTAAAGGAAAGTCATTTCACTATTTAAGATTGGCCAGTCCCTAATGTAATTGTGAGCATCCCATCATATCCATCAGCTCCCCAAAAACAGTTTTCTCGGAATTTGAAATTGCTTCCCTTATGCATCAGAGCCTTATCACCTCTTTTTATGTGGCCATTATTTCCAAACCCTTTCTCCTTTATCCTCCTTTTTAAACCTAAGCTGCACTTCTTTCTTAATAAATGACACACTTTTATTGCTGTTTTACTCTGAGCTGCAGTTTCTACGCATAAGACCATCCCTTCAGGGCCTCCATTAATGCAGTAATGATGCTGTCGTGGAGGTTCAGAACAAGAGATATGAACTTCTCCTTCACTGCAGCACTAAAGACTTTTTAGTCTTTTCTGCACAATATTTTTAGAGGCCACAATTTGTGTTCTTTGCAAAGGTTGCACTTGATTCCCCTCCTTCCTTTGCTTGTGTTGAACAGCTGGTTAGACCATGAGTTTAGGAAGGAAAGATGAATGCATATAATGCTCCTTTATAGAGACAGTCTGCATTTTGAAATCCAAAGGCCTCATGGATCCCTTTAGTCTATCTGTCTGTCTGTCAGTTTTACAGCAATTAGAAGCGCCTATGAACAAAGCATGGGTGGAGGGGGAACTCGACCCCCCCCAGTAAAACGTGAAAAGTGGTTTTCAATCGAGAACAAAAGACTTTAAGCTAATCTAAACCGAAGAAAATATTAATGAAGTCAGAAACTGCATGCCAGTATAAAGCCGACTAAAATAATTGAACTTTTATCTTGTTTTGGAAAACTTACTTCTTGTTGATGTTATGGCGGGGAGAGGGCGGAGAATGATGCCGGAGAAGAAACCACTCCCAGGAAATAATCAACCAATGACTCCCTCCCAGAACCAGGAAGTAACTACAGATTTTTCTACACTGCTAGCAAATGCACTGCGCTCTCTAATGGAGCAGATGATGAATCTCAACACCAAATTGGACACGGTCCAAAAACAATTGACTCAAATGGATAAAAGAACCTCAGTTACGGAGAAAACAATAAAAATGATCAAAAAAAGACTGAGAGTATTAACAAAATAATGGATGAAGCAGACAAAGAAAGATCCTCTGACAAAACACAGCTAATACAGCTCCTGCTGGAAAGATCCATATATGTTCTACGTTTCCAAGAGATTCCAAAAGAAAAAAAATGAGAACTTAAAGGAACTTTTAGCAGACGCTCTTGCACCACTAATGGATTATAAATGAGAAGAATTATTGAACGAGATGGACTTGGCCTACAGGATTTATTTGGACTTTATAAAGAAAAACAAACTCCCAGGAGAAATTTATGTGAAATTCACAAAACGATCTACCAGGGATCTGGTGCTAAAATCCACAATGGGGAAGGCTTTAAAAATCCAAAACGAAGATGTAAATTTTTTGAAAGATATCCCCTTTGAAGTGAGGAAGAAGAGGAGACTTTATAAGGAACTTACTCTCTTTCTTCAAAAAAGGGAATACCCTACAGATGGGTATTCCCTGAAGGAGTGAGATTCAGCTATAAGGACAAAAAAATTCAGATTGATTCTGTTCCTAATGCAAATAAGTGTATGACTCAATTTTCAAAGCCAAATCAAAATAAAAAAGAAAAGAAGATGGAACTTTCTGCGGAGGAAGAAGAAGGTGTCGAAGAATCCTACTCACAGGATTCAACAAGCACTAGTTCTAAATCTTCAGAGACTTTGGAATCTGAAAAAGGAGAAGTTGCGCCCAAACCTCGGACAAGGAAGAAACGCAAGAAGAAAAGACTCTGAAACTAAGATGGATGTTTATGCAGTTTTTGTTAAAACAATATTCAAAGCTAATTTTTATTCTTAAACTTTTATTTACAATGTTATCTTAATATTAGTAGGTGCTTTAGTTAAAAATACATGTAATCCAGATTGTGTCACTCATTAGCTCCACTCCCCTAGTTCCCAGTAGAATTGTAGTGTATAATGTATTAGAGTTCCTCTCCCCTACTCCTGTAGCTTTAGTGATGTAGTAATGGAAAACCAATAAAATCCTTACCAAAAAAAAGAGAGAGAATAATTCATATAAAAGTAGCTTCATGTATTAGTGACATCTGGTATTTTCAATATCAGAGAAAACTAATGTTTTTGGAAGTTCTTCATATAGAACTCACCTTGTTAAGATATGTTCAAATGAAATACCCACCACACAAAATTAATGTGGCCCAGTTCTGTATATGTCTTCTGTATACAAATAACAAATGAAGTAGCAAGTCACTAGCTGTCCATACAATCTGTCTCTAAGGATTGTTTTAAATATAACCAAGATAAGAGTTGTAGAGTGTTTGCTAAAAGAAAAGTGCTGTTGAAGTTAATAAGCCTTGTGGATATCATTTAATGTGCTCTAGAACTTCATGAGCTTCCCAAGCTATAGGTCTGGCTACTTCTGCTATTGAAGTTTTATATTTAAGTGAGGTAATGTTAAAACCAAGTTGGCTTCATGAACATCTGCTTTTCTCACTGGAAAAAAATAAAATATTTCTGTTTTGGAATACAATAAACAAGTGTTAAAGCATTGACTGGGAATGGGTTCAGCACTGAGGGCCACTTTGGAAATGAATCACGAGTCAGAGGGTGGCAGGTGATGTGCACATTTAATGTGCATAACATTAATAGAACTTTCATACAATGTGTATGTATACAGCAGTAGCCAGACCACAGCTGGTAGATGTGTTGCATTTCTTTCATGATGCTGATGGCACTGGCTGTGTGCCTTTTGCCTCCCTGTCTTTCCCACACTTCACTTTCAGGTAACAGTTCCTGACATATTGGGAAGCATGACAATTCCCTATCTTGGCTGAACCTCACAGCTAGCTGGGATGACCAAAAGCCCTGCAGTTGCTAGCCACATGAATGTCACATCACAAGGCAGATTTTTTTTAAAAAAATGAGACAAACTTCTATTTGAAAATGTAATCATTATATAGCTCTTACTCCTGCTTTTCAGACATTTGATATACTCATTGTCGGTGAACACTGTACTGTGCTTTGAAAGAAATCAACCAGAGCCTCCGACAATCCTATCAAGAGGC